CGTGTCTGCTTTTAGCATGTGCTAAATGAAAATGGGCGTCTTTTTCTTCTGCTCCTTCATTAAATTTCAACGGCAGCTTGCATCAATTATTGTTGCACTACTGCCATCTACTGGATCCTAATATCTATGCCTCAAATTCTCATAATGATCCCACTATTTAAAAAAACAAAAAATCTTCTTTTTCCCCTCAATGCTATTTAACTGATCAACATCATTCTCAAATTTCAATTCCCTATTAAAACCTAATTCTGTTTTAATGGGCGATTTCTTCTTTTATTTCCAATTTTGACTTCCAATGATTCACTTCCTGCTAAAGAGCCCCCTGGTGGTTGAAGAAAAATCCACATATAAGCCGCACTGGGCTATAAGCCGCAAGGTTCAAAGCTTAGGAAAAAAGCAGCGGCTTATAGTCCGGAAAATATGGTATATGAAAAAAAAATTAAATGCTCTCTGGTAGTGTTCAGGGGGCCGGACCAAATGTGGAGGCGGGCCGGATCCGGCCCACGGGCCATAGTTTGGGGACCACTGATGTAAGCACATGGTCCACCATGCCTTTCATAGTTAGGGTTTTGAAGAAAACTTTTAAGAAAGCATCTGTGGGACACTCATATTGTGGAAAAACATGTCTTAATATTATTATCGTCTAAACTTATTGAAAAGTTATATATGTTAATTTTCTTAAGATTTAGTCAAATTTGTATTGATTAAAGAAACATTTTGTTATGTTTTACTTGATTGTTGTGTCAGCCTTCCAGATCACTCAGGTCTTACAGTTCTCTGGAAGCAGAGCAGACCAGAACCAGATCCACACATGAAGAAGCAGCATTCAGCTGCTATGCACCACAAAACTGGAACAAACTTCCTGACAATTGTACAACATCCAAAATACAGAGTTCTTTAAAATCCAGACTAAAAACTCACTTGTTTACAGTTACTTTGAACCACAATAAATGAAACTAACCAACATTTGGTGTGTAATGACAGCACTTGCCAAAATGTTGAGTTCTATGTTTTTACGATGTAGAGCACTTTGAACTGCCATGTTGCTGGGATGTGCTATACAAATAAACTGATTGATTATCAGTCAATCAATCAATTGGCTACCCAGTAAAATACATGTGGACGTATAAGGGAGCATGGCTTAGAAAGCCATAATCTGGTTTGGCACTACTGCCTATGGTTAACATCCATTCTTGCTGACTTCCTCTGAGAAGAATATAACCTTCACCTTGAGGAGAAAGAGTGCTTACAGAATGGGAATGGGAACTTGGTTCCCATTCTCACCTTGAATACAATGCACAACTTCCAAAACAATCTAGGCAAGCCAACCAACCAACTAACTTGCAGTGTTCATGATTGTATAAAAATGTGCTGCTGAGGTACACATGGACAATCTGTCTTTTGTGGAGACTGAATAGCTTTCTAGAGATCAAACACTAATTATTTCCTATAAAGCTGCCTCTTAAAAGTCAAGTTGAATTGTTAAAACAATTGATTTGTCAGTGAACGATCCCTCACATCAGGTAAGCAATAATGTGTTAATGAAAAGAGAAACACTGCTCAGCCGGTTCATTCATCTATAAGACGTAAGACTGTTGGCATACTCTGGCATTCAGAACGACTGCCACTGGACCATTCACTTCAAATGTCAGGGCACAAAACATTTCGTATAGAGTTCCAAATACACTCCTGCCTGGGTCTAGTGTTATTTTGAGGCTAAAACACATCAGAAGAACAAAGGTCTTTTCCTACAAAAATGGCAAACAACAGCTTTGTCACAAGAATAGTTGCAAAAGCTTTCATCCGGGGCACTAATGCTGTGGTTCGGCACACCTTAAAATGGCGCAAATGTTCAGTAGATTCATTCTGCCATCTAAATAAGGTTTCCTATCAAATATGTATCCTTAAAGTGAAAAACACCTTCTCTTTGTCGTCTTTGAAGGTGTCAGCTTGACTTGCAAATGCAGTAAGTCGTAAAGCTAGGAAATTGCCTCTCTAGTGTCCGTCAGTATGCCAACATTTTTTTAAACTATTGCCATTAAAACTGAAAGTTGATCACACTGCCAGATGTATTCTCAGAACACATAAAAGGGCTTTTGCTGTCCACATAAGTGCCACAATGCCCATTTTACTGGGGTTTCAGGTGCCTTAGGGAATGGATGGGGGCACCTGGGGTCTTTGGCACCACTGTGAAATTCTTAGTCAATTTATAAGAAAAATAAACTATCTAAAGACTTTAGACAATGTTACCAAATACTGAGGAAATGTGTGTCAATTTTTTATTTTGAAGACAATAAATAAATCTCTGAATGATTGTTTCTATTTTTATTGTGACATTTAACAAATAAGAAATAATATTGGTAATTCTAACTGACCCAAAATAAAATAAGTTTGGTCTAATTTGACTTACGACAATGAGAAAATAAAGCTAGATTTGTCATTTTATTTGGTGAATATTAAACTTTGGTTTGACTTGTATCACCTCTCTACTCAGAGCTATTCGTAACCAGTAGAAAAATTTACTTTTTGTGGTGTGTGTGTGTGTGTATGTTAACATGTGTATGACTAGTTTATAATTTCTAACTGAAAAACAATATCGGTATCAAGTCAGAACATTAAATAGGTACAAAACATATTCCACTCTTACTGATTTACATGAAATAGGTCTCTTTCAAGTACCACAACATGAGTGTTAAAGTTCTGTATCTTGGGTTTTACCAAACCTTTTAGAACATGAAATAATTGCATGTAGAGAAAATGTAAAATATTATATCAAGGATACTAAATCTTTGTGTGTTAAGAGATTTTTTGAGGAAGTGAGGCATTTAATTTTTTGTATGTTTTTTTATCTAAAGATTTTAATTCGAAGTTGTTACAACTCTGCAGGAGAAAATGGCCATACAACACTACCTGTTACTGTGAAAAGTCTGCGACTGATACAAACAAGCCACTTAAGCCATCCTTCTCCAAATGCTTTTGGAAGAACTTGCAGCTTTGTTCATGACTCATGGCATCAGTCATATTCAACCCAATATGTACTTCTTTGCTAAGATGAATGGATCCAATATTGGGTGGAATTAACACCACAAGGTTGAGTTATGGATGTGAGCCAGCAGTCTGGGTTACCTCTCTTCTTTATGCACCCATCTCAGGTCTTGATCCTCCAGCTCTGAATGTCCTGCTCTCAGCCTGCCTTTAGCTATTTTTAGTGACTGCAGATGGTAATTATTTGATTCATGTCAGTCAGAATGAATTAACGATTAATGCATCAGTCAAAAATGCATCATGAAGAGGAAAAAGAAGAAGTCCCACCTAAATATATGTCGCAGGACGAGCCAAACTATGAAAAATGTGTGATTTATAGTCTGGAAAATACAATATGGTTTGAGATGAGAAATGTGACAGTTGTAGAGTGTGTGTAGGATTTGTTGGTGGTTTTTAATGTACTGACCTCTACTCATTCTTTTTGAAGCACTTATCCATCCCTGGTGCTGGTGCACATTTTTCTACCACGTCTCTCTTCCATTTAACTTTCTATGAATATGCTTAGATAAAGCCCTGTGAACAACCAGCTTCTTCAGCAATAGCCTTTTTCAAAATCATCAGAATTAAAGGAAATAAAGACTCACATTTCACTCTGTGTGTGAAGGTTTTCATTATATTTTCATTTCTTGTGATGTACCTTTAATTTTTCACACCAGTCACTCTTCAGGTACAAGTTTTGCTCTAGCATCTTTTTAGTTGAACAGGCCACCACTCTCTGTCTGTGACAAATATGTCCAGTACACCAATGCATTCATCTCACTGTGGGAGCTGAACTGAATGCTGCCACCTTGTAATGCATTATGAATTGGGATTCATAAATAATTAGTAAGTGAGCACAGCAGGATTAAGAGGGATCGTGGCAGAGGGGACACAAAAACAACACCTGGAGACCTTGAATCTGCTTTTTCATAAGTTGAGTTCCCATGATAGAACGTCTTAGTGCAATCCGTTGCACACTGATGAACAGTTAATCCTGGCAGAATCTAGATTGCAAATATATTTGTACAATGGAGCATCAACATCACCGTTTTACACAATGATGTGAGTTGATGGCTGAAAAGATAATGATTGCACCAGACAAAGGTGGAGCTGAGATGTGAGTCAGGTCACTATGTGGTGGATGCATATCAGCATTAGCTCCTGCTCTGAATCTTCCCTCACGACACCAGTAGAATATATTAACCTAATGAAATAGCAAGGTATTCACTGGGATTGGCTGTAAATTTGCCAGCAGTGCCTAACAGCCTCATGTGTGCTGTGTGGTGATAAAGTGGCGTCTCGCCGACTGTACGAGGGTCACATAAAAGGGTCTCAGTTTGTGTAATCGACATCATATATCCAGTCTCACACTTCTAGGACACAGGCCTTAAATTACTCTGAGGAGACTTTTTCAGTTTTTGTATTTCCTCTTGCTCCCACAGAAAGCTAAAGCATTTACCCAGTGATGCTGATTTGTTTACTACCAGGCCTTTTCTTGCTAATCTTGATCTTCTAAAGGAATTATTGCAAAATAGTCATGAAAAGTTTTAAAAGTTTGCCCTTTTCATCATGGGTTACGGCTTATACAATAACTAGACACTTTATTAGAAACACTTTGGTAGAACAAGATTGATATTTGCCTGGATTTTTCATGGCCTGGGTTCAACAAGAAGCCTGAAACAGATTTTGGTCTACATTGGGATGATAGCATCAAGTAGTTGCCAAATTAATCTCGAGTTTTCCACATTTCACAGGGGTCCATTGTAGTACAGCTAATCCATCGTCACATTTAAGAAACTTGTTTGATCTGAACTTTGTGACATCACAGTTAAATCAAGTATATAGCACATTTCAGCAACAAGGTGGTTCAAAGTGCTTTACATTATGAAAACAACACAATCAACCATATGCACATATTTGTTACGCCTCTAGACCTTGTGGGCTGCGCTACATGCATTGTGGTGTGCTTGTCCTTTTCGTTTCCTCCTTGTGCAGGGTACTGTGCTGTGGATCAGCCCCCACAGCGTAACAGGCTGTGCGTTTCCTCCTTCCAGTCTCTCTCTCTCTGGGCTCTCTCGTCCCTCCATGCCATGCATGGTGCGTGTGGCATTCTTCACTGCTCTGCTGCTGGGCCTCATCTCCTCCCCACGCATATGTAAGTTTCCCTTTATTTTCACATCACAACACTCACACATGTCACTCACACATATCCACAACACATCCAAGCATTTGCATTACACAACTGATTTTAACACTAACATTCCATTGTGGCTTTTGTTGACTTTGTACTTCATCTTTAATGAATATTTATTTTGAACACTGTGGCCGTGGTCTCCCAATTTTGTTACGAAACTGAGCCAGTCATAGCAATTCGGCAGCTCCTGCCAACTGTGGCAGAACTGGAAGTAGAAAGCCTTTCACATCCTGATTAAACTGTTGTGACTATTTAGAGGAGCAGGTTCCCTGAGACGCAAGGCGTTTATCGCACAGCTCGTGGCGGCTGGATCTAGCTTTTCTTTGACTCCTATGTATGTTTATTCATGTTACTTACCTTGTTCCCTGTCTTCCTCGCAGCTGGATGCCTCACTGATTCCTCCATGGTTCCTTGGATTCTCTTTCTCGCTCCATGATTTCTCTCTGGAAACCTGCCTTTAAAAACTCCTGCCAGATTCAAACTGAAGGTAAAAAACTAAAGGAAAGGAAAAAAAAGGAAATGAGGTCTTTTTAAAATAAATTCACAAATATACAAATAAAGTATAAGTAGTTCTCCAATATGATCTGATGGCAGTGAGATCAATTTAATTGAAAAATGACCATGATTAAACAAGCCAAACCATTACCCATCCAGCCAATCTCAACTCAATGGATGTACCTGCTGCTCCCTGTTATCTCAACCCCAGGATGACGAGGTTGGCAATATGTCCATCTTCAGAGAGAACACATTCTGCTGCTCCAAACAGTCAGTAATTGTTACTTTTCTCCTCAGTGTGGTCTCGGATTGGACTTCCTCTAGCAGTCCTTATCGCATCCTGTCAAAGAAAATCTTTTGCGAAGAGAAAAAATAAAAACTCTGCCTTTCTACCTCAGTTGTCTGTAATTGTTGCCATCGCTTGAGTCTGAGAAATCATCCATCATGACAGTCCCTGCTTTGATCCTCAAACCTTACACTTTGTACACATTATATTATGTTTTATTCCATTAGAGGTGACATTTAATGTTTGCTAAATTTGACATCTGATATTAAGAGACAACCACAACATAATTACCCTACTTTGGAATTTCCTTATGATTTGTTTAGTGTTAAAATCTTATTTTGTCATAAAGAAAAAATAACTTGAAATTGCTTACCACCATGAAGTGGAGATGGAAATCTTATGAAACTGTAACTAATCTCCATAGCTTTATGAATGATATTAACAGAAGTTAATGGCTTTGAAAATGCCAGTGAGAACACTGAACATGCACAGAAATCCTTGGATTGACATTAACTTGTTTTCTATAGGAGCTTAGATGACATTCTTAACTAAAAATACAACAAAAAAGACAATAACGCCACACTTTCCAATCACTTTGGATTATTCTTTTTTTACACCATTTAAGCTTTTATATTAAAAAAATATTGCGTTTAAAAAGTAATGTTGGCAACATTGATTTATCTCATTCCATCAGACCGTTATCCCTCTAATTTGAGATAAAACACAATTTATCTGTTAATGTATATTCATTGTATGTTTAATGAGTTCAATTATGTGACTTGTGATTTTACCATTTGGTAGTTAACATATTTATATCATTACATCAATAAAACATGCAAAGAAACACACTCACTGTGGGAGCTATGCTGTACCTCAGTTGATGTACAGTTCAATTAGATGCAGATGGCAAAAAGAGGACAGATATTACCGATACAGACCTTTGAGACTGTATCCATAATGTGTTGTGCAGAACATAAATTAAATCAATGAGTGCTGAATCCCAGACATCTCAAACAGTGTACATGTAACACAAAGGGAAATATGTTCAGTAGAATAACAGAGAGGCTTACGCTGTGTCTAAATAAATTGGATTGATCTCTTTCCAAATCTGAGTGATAAAATGTCTGCTTGTTAAATTTTCAAGAAATGAAATAACGTAGCAGAAAAAGCACCATCGAGCAAGAACTGTGAATACAGTTTTCGACAATGAAAAATGGAGTTTGTGTTTGTACATTTTATGTTTGGAAGCTTTGTTGAATTTAAAATAAGATTTGTATTGTCATGCTTTGATCAGCTGATCAGATCATGATCTAAGTAGAAGGGTGAGCTGCTTCACATGTCAGCTGAAAAAGGGTAAGTCTTTCTTTCTCGTCTTACTTTAACAGTGGAGATTAGAGAAATTTGAAAGAGGGCCGGTGTCAGGTGAGATTTAAGGTAGCCTACCATGGTGAGGGAGAAGTGGTGGAATTAAATGAGATATTCTGGTAGCTGTAGTTTCTCTCAACAAACCACACTTCTGGGATCTGAAGATTTTTCTTTTGAGCGTTTGAGACCCAAGTAGGTAATTCCAGGACACCATCATGGAGTCACTGATAATCTAGGACAAAGAGAATTTGATTACCACAGCCAAAGTTAAAAAATGGTTACAGAATGAGAATCCTGCTGGTCTGTGGCTTGATGAGGCGAATAGACACAAGTGAGTTAGAGTTACAGCAGTAGTAACCCTGCATCACTGGGAGACCAACAGCACAAGAACAGGATAATTAGGAAGAAAAGAAAACCACCTCAGGATTATGACATGTTTCAGGAAAGAGGAAGGACTCTAGTTTGTTGATGTTATCAGTAAACTTAAAGCTCCTAACATATCAAGATCCCTAATGCAGATTAAAATAAATAAAAGAATTCTGCAAATTTTTCAGGCATCGCATACTAAAATAAATACTTTCATAATTGTTTTGTTTCTGACCCTTTAATCACTAAAAATGGACAGGATTGATTGGATTTGTCACAATCTGTAATTTTGCCTTCACAATACAACATTATAAATATGTCAGAGGAGCTATAAAAAAGGCATATTCCCTCTCCTAATGCTGCCAACCCTGGTGTTATTTAGAAGAGTCATAAAGATGTTTTCTTTTCTGATCATATTTAGATGTGAACAACAAAGCATTACCATGTTTACTGAAACATCCAAGATTTTTACAGTTTTCTTTTCTTGGATTATACATATGCATAATGCACAAAAACTAGGGGATTCTAAGAGCTTCTTTTTTTTTTACTGTGCTCATAAATGCTTGTTTCATTTCTATGTGAATCACCTTTTCTGTTGCATCTCATCACCATAAACCCTGACACCTTGTAAATAATCCACTTTCATGCAGATCTTGTCCAAATTTGCTGTGGAAAAGGAAAGTGTTGCAATACAAAGGCTGGTGGTTTCAGGGTCTTTATTAAATCCTTAGCATGGTTTCCGTCAATTCTGCTGCTCATTAGAAAACATATTCCTACAATTAACCCTTAAATCTCACAGTGGTCATTAGAAAAAGCAGTAAATTAGCTGAATGCTGATTCTTCAAAACACCACAGTGATGTAAAATCAATCATGTGTCTATCATTACATCTTAGCCTTGAAAAGCAGCAACTTCAGGCAGAATATTTTACAGCTTTCTGATTGACATTCATTCACCTTGTGCCACATAAAATAACCACTCTGGACACTTTTTTAGAATCTTTTCAATCCAGCAGATTTGAACTATTAGCATTCTGTCCAAAGGCAAACTAAGGAAACAAATCCCATTGCAAATGCACTGAATTCTGTTAATCATATGAGAAATAAACTCTTTGTCCTTTCAAAAGCTTATAATAACAGAGGAGTTTGAGAAGTCGGAACAGTGGTCTAAGCTGATGAAGGTCAAAAGAGCTAGAAAATTAACGAACAGGGAGCAAAGGTCAGCAGTTCACTGTATTCAGTTAATCCCTTATGTCACTCACATGGACTCCTTATGAAGTTTTGATTTTTAAACTCTTGTGAATGAAGTCAGTTTTCTGCATTTCCATGTCAAGTCACAAGCAAAGTGTAGCAAATATGAACTTTGAACGTATACCGGTTAGCTTATCTATTTCTCCATATTGACACTTACAGAAAATTCAGTTTTTTGAAGTCCAATAGGAAATTTGTGATAAGCAAATACCAGTACCTACTGACTCTGTATTATACTTCTTTGCCCTTTGTTCCAATACCATTTAAAGATGTGATATGAAATAGTTTACTTCCCCCACATTGCTTTACAACATACTGTGTAAAATACACAACTTGATCAAGAGATGAACTAGGAAGCCACAGATTTATTTAAATGACAGACTGAAAAAAGAGACTTCTATTAAACTTCTATTTAGTGTTTCCAGTTTGAACACAAATTCATCAACCTCTCGATGATAGGATCCTATCGGCTCACATTTTATAAAAGAGTCTGAAGCATCCTTCTTTGTCAACTACTACAAAACACAACCTCTGTAAAGGACATCACCAAAAGGTAGGAAATGAACTGACTGATCACCACTTAAAATTAAACAACCAGAGTTTATTCAGAAAATGTGAAGTACAATGGTGTTCCATGGTGTTTTTAACTCATTTGCAAATGCAATTGTCAAGCAAGAACCAAATGCTTTTTAAAAACTCATATTGTCAAGGAGGGGAGCACATCCTGGCAGCCTGGCATAGAAACTGGGTAAAAAAAATCTTCTAAAAACTCTCAAAAAAGTCTTGAAAGGAATCAGACATGTTAAGGTTCAGCAAGTGATTTTTTTTTTTTTTTTTAGATTTCATTTGACCTTTAATTTAACCTGTTGTTCACAGGTTGTCATTCACAATGACAGGGGTATCAAACTCCAGTCCTCAAGGGCCGCTGTCCTGCAGTGTTTAGATGTGCCACAGGTAAAAAACAGTGGAATGAAATGGCTTAATTACCTCCTCCCTGTGTAGATCGGTTCTCCTGAGCCTTGCTAATGACCTAATTATTCTTTTCAGGTGTGGTGCAGCAGAGGCACATCTAAAAGTTGCAGGACAGAGGCCCTGAAGGACTGGAGTTTGACACCCCTGTCACGAGAGGACCCAAATTTGGGTCCTCTCGTGACAGACAGGTTAACCAGGAAACAGTTATTCAGATTACACATCTGTTTTAGAACTGTATTTGTTTGTAGTTTTAGGTTATTGGCCATTTCTGATAAATAGTAATGGACATGCTCAAGAATAAAACCTAACACAAGGTTCTCTTGTTTATGATGAAGGACGCTCCTCTGTAATGTGGTTGTCTAAATGGGGGGTTAAAAAAAGAAATGTGGGGACTTTTAAGGGATTCTCCATCCTGGTAACAGCCAGTGGGCGTGTTGTCTTTTGTGGGCCGTTCAAAATGACTGATGGATTGAAATTGCAGAAGCATCTAAATAACAAGAAGATTGTTTTACCAAATTTTAATAAATTGACATTTAGGAAATGGGGTTTCCACATGTCAAGCTGTGATGATGAGTTATGATTTATGCTCAGCAGCTAATTTTCACCGTTTCTGATCTGACAAGGAAATGATGAATTAAGTCGGGTATCACGGTTGATGACGACACAGCTGTTCTGCTTTGGCACTGATTTGATTCCTTTGGGTATATCTTGAGTTTAAACAGGCATTTCTCTTCTTCTGCACAGAGTGTCTTTTCCTGAGCAGCGAGTCTCTAATGATCTCTCAGTGGAGTCAGCAGTCACACTTCTCATTATGAAATTGCAGAGCCTACTCACTTGCACTTCCCTTTCGCACTTTAAAGAGATAGAACGGTGAATACTTTTTTCCCAAGTTCATTTCTGTTAAACCTGGACGTGGCAGGGTTTATGACAATACACATTGTCATCAGTGACAGTAAGTAGGTACTGACCAACAGCACGACAGCACTTGAGGAAGCCCGCAAAGACGCAAGTTTTCCTAATTAGTTTTCACAATGCAATGTTTTGTTTTGTTTCCCCACAAAAACACATCACATGCAATATATATTTATTTTTCTTGTGATTTCCAAAAATGTAATTGTCTGTGGAGGACCGTGATCCCACCAATTTCTAAGAGTTGCTTTGAGTTGCACCCTCACTTGACTTGTGTCCAACTTTGGTAAAGGTCACTTTATTACAATATGACACGGTGCCCTTACATAGTATTTGTTTTGTGGTGACTTTGTTTTCTCCCTTTCTCTGTGTACCTGTTTGTGTGTGTAAGTGACAGTTTCTTCCTATTTTGTGGGTCCAATCCTTACTAGCTCACCTGTGCATGACCCATCAAGAAGTGTTGATGTGCAACCATGGAGGTTTATCTCCTAAATGCAGCAAAAAACATTTGCTGATAGAAGTATCACCTTGAAAATGGATAACCTGGCAATGTGATAGAAGTGGTACTGATGAGTCAAAACATCTTTGCCAATTTGAACCACCATTTCATGCCCGTTTACTTTATTTAAACCCAGTTTATTTTTCCTGGTTAAGTGTTAACATGAATTATGGAAATTAAAAAAACTAATTCTAACCCTTTTTGTATTTGCAAATATATTTTTATATAACTACATTTAGATTTTATTATGCGACTTTATGTTACTTTCTTGAAAAACATTGTCTTGCTCTCAGATCGTTTAGAATTTTGCAAGGTCAATTCCTAGTTCCTTAATTGAAATTAAAAATCCAAATGAAAATTCTTACTAATCTGTAAATATCACCAATGTTGCCCTCCAATAGATACCTACAGTACAATAAAAGTTTCTCATTGTGAAACCATAATATGTGGCCTGACCAACAATCCTTCACAAGCTATTGTCTGACACAACCAAGCAATCAATGTGTAGCCCAGTTATACCGCTCTAAAGTAGGTACAGCCCCTGAGTTCGGTAAACCCAGTAACTTACGAATAATAACTCTTAATACATTCTCGTGTTTAAACCTATGTTGGGTTTCACTCACCTTAGAGTAATAATACACCAGTACTTTTCTATCCTTCTCACCCAATCATGTAACTCTGATTAAGAATAATAAACTTTACATACTATCCTATAAAAAACCAAACACACACCTGTATGAGATTTGAACTTTTGAACATATATTAAACAATAATAAATTCACAAAATGCAAATATTTTAGTATTTTGGTTTCACAAACCCTATATTAATACATGTGGGCCCACACTTCAATGTCCACCTAAGCCGGCAATGATTAACTAAAATATAGTCCCAAAACAAAAACCCGTTGCAGGCCTGACGTGATGATGAAGCGTGGAATTGCGATACCTTATTCCAAGGAAAATCTTGAACCGTCTTGCAATTTCACCTGTCCTTGGTCCCAGGCGACAAGATGTCTTCAGCTCCTTCACCAGTCCCTCGGTCCACAGGATTCAGGAACAGCAGGAAAGTTCAACGCAGACACAGTCCTCCAGCACAGTCATAGAAACTCTGTGTAAGCTCATCTCTCTGCACTAGGTTAACTCTTGAACGCTCCCACGACAGGAACATTAGTTGAGTCTTCTGTTAGCCGAGTTAGCTCACAGTATTCAAGTCCATTCACGGTGCTAATGAATGCTAATGCGTTAGCGAGCATTACATATGACTTTTCACCTACTGTACAGTGAATTCCGGTCTGAAATTATCACAGTAGCTGCAAACAAGAGTGTAGCGTCGATATCTATTAAAAGACTGTCGAGTTGAAAGTCTAAATATCTGCAAAACACTCGTTTCTTAATAAGTCCGCCACGTTTTTTCAGCGCGGTTCATCTCTTTTCTTACTCATTTCTCTCTTCTTTCAGCCACGTTTTTGTCTCCCTCTACTTTCTTATCCCTTCCTGATCCTCAGCCAACCACGGACCAGTAAAGTTGCTTTGCTCTACACAACTTCCTCTTACAAACATGAGCCCTTCAAATTAAATATGTTGAAGATTACTTTTCTGTAAAACAGTTTTAACTACATTTTTCCAATTTCTTTTAACTTAATCATATTAGTTCAAGTACCTGTAAGTACAGCTTTTTTGTTAACACTTATTTATAACAATTTTAACATATTTAAGCAAACATCTAAATTATTACACCTTCCATGAATTTAACTCAATACAAAATACCTTTATTTTGGACTGGGTTACAAATGCAACTTTCATAAGACAACGATGTCTGAAAATGCAGAAAATTGTTTTGATGACAAACAAAATACAGACAAAAAATGCGTGGCTACCCAGCTGGATAGATGATTTACTTTTCATTATAAAGCTTTGTCAGTGCTTTCTATTTTGACAGCTATTGTCAGATCAAAAATTTCCAAAGCAAACCACACTTTAGTGGAGCTCGGTAATTATCCTTTGTGCAACAATGACATGTACCAGTAGGTTCTTGTCTTAAGCCAAATCAAGTTTATTTGTATAGCGCATTTCAGCAACAATGCAGTTCATTGATCATTATATTTGATGCGTATTTGCTTGATTTTGATGATGGTATTTGACAAAATGTAATCTTTGTTTCATAATGGGTTACTGTAGTATGTTTTTATGGTGTAAAGCACTTTGGACTCCTTTGTTGCTGAAATGTGCTAAACAAGTAAACTTCACCTGACTTGACAAAGTGCTTTCCATGATAAAAACATAGAACATATCACACATAGCATAATGAAAAGTTATAATCCAGACCAGAATTAAGCTATTTTCAAGTTATTGATCATCACAGGCAACCAAATTGATTTAAAGAAACACAATGTTTCTGGATTTTGCAACATAACCACAAATTTAGTATGGAACACATCACAATTTCTAACATATTCCTAAAGTTGCTGTTGACATGTGTTTTTCATCAGGTGTTGGTAGCAAGTCACATAATTAATACATGGAAAGAAACCAAAACAAATAAACTCAGAGGTGTGTAATGATGTGAAATGGCACAGGGGATGATCCTGAAATAGAAAGAACATCATTCAATCCTAGACTGGCCACGACCAGGGGCTCCTTGAAAGATTTCTGACAGAGAAGTGAAATGAATTATCAGAAAAGTTATCCAAGAGCCAAGGACCACTTGTGAATAGATTCAGAAAGACTGGGAATTATCAGGTATAATTATTTCAAACAAAAAGAAATGCACACTCAACGACCCTGGCCTGTATGCACACTTACCACACAAGACTCAGTTTCTAAAGAAATAACATGTAAACATTTTCAATACTTTTTCTTCATATGTGTGTGTCTTACAAATTAGCTGATATTTCCCTTTACATGAAATTTTGTAATATTAATCTAAATTGTAATTGTAAATCATTAATTGTTATTATTTTAACTGGTCGGTAAAAATCCAAAGCGGTTTTAAGTTAGATTTATTTGACAGTGTTTGCTGAACTGTAACATTCTGTTACATTCTGAAAAGCCTATTTGTGATGATACCTGTTTGCAGCAAAACATTCCCTTTAAATTTCCCACTTAAATTGCTGACAGCCGTTAGCCTTGACATGCTTTTTGAAACACTTTCAGAAAGTGGAGCCGCAGATTTTCTGTCTACAGTGTCGCTGTATGAAACAACTTCATGGTCCTTTCAAAAGCTGAGATGTGACCTTGTCTTGAGAACATTCAGACACTCAAAATAGAGCTGGAATAACCCTTTAAACCCAAAAGAAAAACTTCTTCATTCACCGGGGTGACATTGGTTTTCCAGTTTATTATCCTCCGCCTTTTGTTACAGCCCTGCACAAGGCCACAGTGTTGTTCATGAGTTATTCAAAATAATTTATTTGTGAGCTCTTTGCACATATCTGTGAAAGTCATGATGTTCCACTTTGGACTTATTTCATGCCGTGAAGTTTTCTCTTCTTATGAATTTGTTTGTTGAAAACTCTGTGGTTTTATGTTGTGATTCTGAAATCAGTGACAATTTTCATCTTAGTGTGATAACTGTACATATATTTCTGCTTTTGAACTAATCCATGTGAGACTAATAAGTGACACAAAAGAAAGCCATACATGGAGCACGAATGATGTTTCTCTCTTTCATTGACGCATCTCACTCACTTCGTTATCACCTTCTATTTGATCATTTCCTGACACATACACACACTGTCTTACTGTTTTGTAACTTGTCATATAGATATTTGCCGCAGTTTTATGCTCGTATACAGAAATGCAGAGGCACACTGCAGCTCATTATAAAGTGCTGAAATACCAAGGGAAAGAGCTGCAGATGTTCTATAATCCACCGCAGCTGTGAGCTGTGTAAATGGGGTGTTAAAGTATCTCATACTTTGTAAGTTAAATAGATCTGAGGTAGATCAGAGAAAGGTAATGGTGTGTATTTAATGTTGACAAGAGTAAATGCCCAACAACAACAACATGAACTTAACAAATACACAGCAAGAGGAAACCACTCAGTTGTCACTTAAAGGGATATTGTTAGAGTGATGTTTCTGGAAACATCATAATATAATAATACTTTTACAAATAGTAGACATATGTCATTTTGTCATAACTGTTTAGAAAAATGTTCAGATTGTAGTACACAAACAGTTAGTCAGACTGTTTTAGCTGATTTGTTATAATTTGAATGTCTTTGAATACAGATATACTTAGTCTGTTTGATCCTTGTTAAAATAAAATACAATCAAATTTATTTATTTATTTATTTTGGCATAAAATAAAAAATAAAAAAAAGTTCTTTGTTGAAGGAAGCCCAGCTGATTGCACTGAGTCACTGAATATGCAGCATCCTTCATCCTAGCCTAGCATGTGGTGACGGTTAACAGATAATTGTATTTATTTGTTGAATGCAGCAATTCCTCATCCAGAGCAAGCATGTGGTGACAGTGGAAAATAATAACTCTGGTTTATCAGTTTGAGACCTCCAGTTGAACTTGCTTCACAATGAATGCCTCAGGCTGTATAAGTAGTCCTGGCATGTTTTCTTTTCACCAGTATCTTTCTGTTGGATGTTGTCATCTTCCAAGTAAGCTTGTTGGTTTCCAAGATGTCCAGTTATTCTCGTGTCTTGCCACTCTCTTTCTGCTGCTAAAGAATCCATCTCTATGCAATATTCTGGGGAAAGTTGCGGCTGCGTGACAGTGTAAAGAATTCTCATTTCTTCTCTCGCAGCATTTACCCTGAGAGCAAAAGCTGTCTTTGCTCGCTCTGGACCAAATGTGGGTGAGCATTTGAACTAGACCCCATAAAGGAACCTGGGCCTGGATCTTTTTTTATTCCTCTGGTCTGTTACCGGCGTGGACCTGGATTATGGATCTGGGCCAGAGGTGGACCACACCTGCTATAAAAGTACTCCATTGTGGTCGCGGTGTGCCACTTTTCAATATTTGTCACTTTGCCAACTTTTAGTATGAAAGCTGTTCCCTTTTATGTGCATGAGGCCCAAGGTAACCATGACATTTCCATAACAGGCCATAAAAGCTTAGCATTAAAAATCCTGTCTTACTAAACTTCCTAAGAAATAGAAATTAGGTCATTCATCAGATGCAAGTCATATTCATCATAATCAACATCAATGAAAGGTTTAATTATGTTTTGTTTGAAAAAGATCCATGAAGCATCTTAGTTTTACTCAGTTTGACCTTTTGAAATTTTAAATATTTTCAATAATATTCTAAATTATTAAAGTTAGTTTTTACTTTTCATCAGATGATAAGAAACTTGCTATAATTCTCTTTTTATTGTTATGGGAAAAAAAATCTGCAGAGACTTAATAAAACGTAAGCCTCTTTGAGTATAATTTCCATCACGCCTTCCATCCTGTTGTACTTAGCTTTTAGTAGTCATACTTCTTAGTTACATCCTGCAACTAAGAAGTGTGGAGAGACATGCAGGTGCCATGGTAGAAGACATTAGAGGTGATTCTGTCAGAAGTTAAGCTGCAGTGGATAATGAAAGGGTCGAAGGCTCCTGGAGAAAGGACAGCTGAGTTTATGATTCAGTGTTAACCATTGCTATCTGGGAAAATTGTTTAAATTACCCACTTAACTTCAATGTGAACTGAGTCAGTAGGGAACACACCCCCACCATTAGCCTTCATTTAACAAATTACAGCCTGGCTCATTGCTCCAATATATTAATTTAAGTCTCTGAGCACAGGCAGGGATTTGTTTGTGAAGACAGCAGAGCAACCATGTACCACAAGATGGGGATGCTACTAACCTGAAGTCGTTAATAATACAAAATATCTGTCAGGCTGTGACTGAATGAATACATCCAAATGTGTTCACTTAGCTGATTCATTTCAGATCCCAATTCGCCACCTCACAGCAAGATTTCTGCTGCCACGTTCAGTTCTACCTCCAAGTGCAATAAACCAATTAGGGCGGTCCAATTAAAACTCAATTCCAGCTGAGACCAGCAGGCCTTGTGCCTAATAGTTATTTTGTAATTAGCTCCAGAGAGATAGGCCTCAGGGATGCACTTCTCCGGATTGTTACTTGCACATATTCCTACATATTTCATCATTTGCTCCAGGCATATGCTGCTGCACCTCAAAAAGGTATTGATCTGGATACAACAGTTCTGAACAAACACCAGCTTTTTTTGCAGCGTCACTGTGGAAATACTGCCCTGGTGTCAGAGCTGTAAAACTGTAATTGGCTGTCTAATACACACCCAGCAGCTTATAAGAGTTGGGAATGTCTGTATTCACTTTACTTTGGCATGCAGACAGAAAAACGCATTTCTTCATTTGTTATCCTACTACATTAAAGGCTCAGACATCAAAGAAATTGAACAGAGCTTTATATTTGCAGCACCCTCAAAGGTGCATGCCTCGTGTTTCAGAAAAGATGGCTCTCATTTGTTGCACTGTATGTCTCTTGGCCACACTTGAGGCGCCACATGGCCATGATTTGCTAAACAGAAGCAATCAAATGGAGACAAAAATTACCACTTCACCTTTCACATTACGTGTAAA